GCCCCCGCCCCCCCGCGCCCCGCCTCGAAGAACTAAAAGGCCGGGGGGTGCGGGGAGCGCAGCGGGGGCCGCGGTCATGGAGGGCGAGTTTGCAGCCAACTGGAGCGCCGAGGCGGTCAACGCGAGCGCGGCGCCGCCGGGGGCCGAGGGCAACCGCACGGCCGGGGCTCCGCAGCGCAACGAGGCCCTGGCGCGCGTGGAGGTGGCGGTGCTGTGCCTGATCCTCTTCCTGGCGCTGAGCGGCAACGCCTGCGTGCTCCTGGCGCTGCGCACCACGCGCCACAAGCACTCGCGCCTCTTCTTCTTCATGAAGCACCTGAGCATCGCGGACCTGGTGGTGGCGGTGTTCCAGGTGCTGCCGCAGCTGCTGTGGGACATCACCTACCGCTTCTACGGGCCCGACCTGCTGTGCCGTCTGGTGAAGTACCTGCAGGTGGTGGGCATGTTCGCCTCCACCTACCTGCTGCTGCTCATGTCGCTGGACCGCTGCCTGGCCATCTGCCAGCCGCTGCGCTCCGCCGCCGCACCGACCGCCTGGCGGTGCTCGCCACGTGGCTGGGCTGCCTGGTGGCCAGCGCGCCGCAGGTGCACATCTTCTCGCTGCGCGAGGTGGCCGACGGCGTCTTCGACTGCTGGGCCGTCTTCATCCAGCCCTGGGGACCCAAGGCCTACGTCACGTGGATCACGCTCGCCGTCTACGTCCTGCCGGTCATCGTGCTGGCCACCTGCTACGGCCTCATCAGCTTCAAGATCTGGCAGAATCTGCGGCTGAAGACGGCGGCGGCGGCGGCCGAGGTGGCCGAGGGGGCCAAAGGCGAGGCGGCGGGCGGAGGGCGCGCGGCCCTGGCGCGGGTGAGCAGCGTGAAGCTGATCTCCAAGGCCAAAATCCGCACGGTCAAGATGACCTTCATCATCGTGCTGGCCTTCATCGTGTGCTGGACGCCTTTCTTCTTCGTGCAGATGTGGAGCGTCTGGGACGTGAACGCGCCCAAAGATGGTAGAGCGGGCAGGGTCACCGGAGGGGGAGCGCAGAGAGGGACGCCCTCACCCCTTCCTCTGCAATCCAGGGCTAGCGGGACTTCGTGGGGGGTCGTACATTGGGAAATCCACAGAGCAGGGTTTGAGGCCAGGCTCCTTCATCCGGTGGCCAAGGGACCTTGGGCAAGTAACCTCCCTGAGCCCAGACCTCCCGTTCTGTAAGAGGGCACAACTCTCACCAGGCGCTGGGAATGGCAGGAGGAAATGCGAGTAGGTCCTTAGCACGCTGTGGGTGGGGAGTGTGGTTTATTATTGTAAGAGGAGGAAACTGAGGCACCGGTGGCTCGTTCCCATGCCGGGAGAGAGTGCAGGCGGTTAAGTTTCCCACCCTGTCCAAGCCAAAGCGCCATCCACTTCACCTTCACTTTAAGTTAAACTTCCACTTGAAGTTCGGATCTCTGCCTAGACCCACGGAGTCGGGTTCCGGGTTCCTGTGGGAGCTACTTGGAGGTGGGACTTTTCCAACTCAGCGCTCAGAAGGCCCCTGTGGGGGCTCTGTAGGGGAGGGGAGGGCAGATCTCTGAGCCCCTGGCTAGTGGAGCCTGAGCCTGGTCAGTGAGTGAGGTGAGTGAGGGGAGGGGGGTCGTGGCTGCCCAGGACTTCCTGTATGTAAGGAGGACAGAGATTTGTCCAGCAGACCCCCTCACTGGCGCTGGCTGGAAGTGCCTGCAGTTGGAGGGCTGCCTTCTGACTCCGGGGAAGCTGGGGGAGCCTTAGAAGGGGAGATCTAGGGGAGGAGCTGGGAGGGGCTCTGGCCCCTGGCTGGTGCTGAGCAGCTGTCTCCAAGGTGGGGAGCTCCAGGCAGTCTCCCCTCATGCCTACCAAGCCAATTCCAGCAGCCCAGTGGAAAAAGAGCGGGAGGGGTGGCCACTGGGGAAGCAGCTTCCTTTGAAGGGAAGCAGGGTGCATGCGTACTGGTGTGCCAAGGACGTCAGCTGATTGGAAGGAAAGACCAAGGGAAGCTTTGCTTTCATCTTTTCTGTACTCCAGACAGGGTAAATGTCTGCTTCCTGAATACCGTCACTGTCCCCCCACAGTCTCATCTCTAGCCTCCCTCGGAAGCTGGACCCTCAGCCCAAGCTGCCTGCATTCAGTCTGATAAATTTGCTTCAGTCCCTTCCCCAAACCACAGACTCCCAGCTTTCCTGGGCCCTCCCGGTTAGCTCAGCCTTGGTCGTAGAGGTCAGGACGCTTGTTCAGGATTTGTTGAGTGCCTGTGGTATGCCAGCCCAGGGCCCCTGCAAGGTGAGGACTCGGGAAGCTAGCCTGGCTCCATCGTGGGCCAGCCTCTGGTCGTACCTTACCAAGGGGGCGTTCTGGGGCCCAGAGAGGGGAAGGCATTTGCACCAGGTCATACACTGAGAGGCAGAGTGGCACCTGGGTGGGGCTTCTTTAAAGAGCACAGCTTAGGGACAGCACTTGGCACAGTGGATATGTCACTGAATCCCCACATGGCCGACCGCGGTGAGTCCTGGATCCAGTCGTTTGAAAAGCACACTGGGCGCATGTGCATGCATGCCTAAGATCCCAGGAAGAGAATGGAGGAGAAAGGATTGCAGTGTGACCATCCTCCCTGGGGGATGATTTCTCACTTTCCCTCTCACTGTCTCTATCTCTCGCTCTTAGATGAGCGCATGTGCCCTAAGGCAAAAATCTCTTAAAAAAAAAAAGGATTAGAAGATTGTGTTGAGCAAAAGCCAGTAGCGATGTTTCTGAATAAGGAGGCAGCAGGTACAACAGACACAGGTCCTTAGCAATTTTAAACATTTATTCATTTATTTATTTAGAGAGACCCTCAGTAGGGCCCACACCTGGGGTCCGCCCCAGCTCAGCCAGCCAGGATCACTGACATGTGCATGCTCAGCAGATATGGGGAGACCTGGGGACAGGGACCTGGGACCTTCCCCTGTAGCAGGATGAAACAGGAGGGGATGGGGGTGAGTGGAAGGACAGAGAAATAATCTTGAAGTAATAGTAGTAATACTTTTTTCTTAGAGTGAAAGCTTTTGCTATAGGACGCATGTGCTCGCTGGAAAGGGAGAGAGAGAAAGTGAGAAATCATCTCCCTAGGGGGGAAGGTGAAGTTGCAATCCCTTCTCCTCCATTCTCCTGGGATTTTAGGCACACATCTACCGGCCCCCTGTGTGAGTTTCAAGCTGCCAAATCCGGGACTAGAACTGTGAAAGTGGCCATGTGGTATCCGGCACCTTAACCACTGTGTCATCCACTGGCCTAGTAATAATACCATTAATAATAATAAAGCCTCTGTGCTTATAGGCAAGCTACACATGAAGATCCTTTTCTTTTCTTCTTTTTTTTTTTGAGAGATTTGTGCTATAGGGTGCATGTACTCACCAGAAAGACAGAGAGAGACAGAGAGACAGAAAGCGAGAAATCAGCCCCCGGGGGGATGGCCAAGCCGCAATCCCTTCTCTTCCATTCTCCTCTCGGGATCTTGGGCACACACGCACACACGCCCGGCATGAGTAAGCCACCGGGTCTGGGACTCGAACCACGGTCAGCTACATGGGAGTTCAGCACCATAGCCATTATGCTAACTGCTGGTCCCATGAGGCTCCTTTTCATTGGAGACACAAAATAAGGAGGGAAACTTTCCTTTTCTTCCTTCCTTCCTTTCTTTTTCTTTTTTCCTCTCCTATCTTTTTAAAATTTTGGCAGAGGGTATGTATGCAGAGAGAGACAGAGAGAAAGGGAGAGAGAAATCACCCCCCAAGAGGGCATGGGCATGCCATAATCCTTTCTCCTCTGTTCCTCCATCCTGTTGGGATTTTGGACATGCATGTGGAATTTTTTAAACTGTCGGGGCTGGGATTTGAACCTTGTCGTGGACCTTGTGGGATCTGACTACCTTAACCAGCAGGCCAGCAGGCCACCAGGCCGGTCCAAGAGAGGCAGTTTCAACCTCAGTGTTGTCTTGTTCAGCAGAGGCGAGCCCAGTCATTTAACGAGAGCTCTCGTCTAAGCAGCCAGACGCGGACGCACCCAGAGTTGCTGAGGCCCTGCAGTCTCCGACACCCACTGCAGGTTTCCGCAGGCCCTTCATGTCTCTTTCAGAATCAGATTCTACAGCCAGACATTTGGCCCCAACCTTTCCCCTGCAGCCCAGTGAAATTGCCCAAGGAGGCTGACGTTGGGGTAGCTCTGAGGGAGGAGCTGCAGGGGAGATGGGCGTTTGGTGGGGAGGGCGGGTGTGTTTGCATTTCCAGGGGCAGGAGGGGGATGTCCGCTGGGTGTGGTGGGGCGCGTTTGGAGTAGTCGCTGGTAGTCCAGCGGCATAGCCATTACGCCAACTGCTGGTCCCACACTTGCTATTTTTAAGTAAAAATGTTTTAGAGAAACTTTTGCTATGAGGTGCATGCTCTCGACAGAGAGACAGAGAGACAGAGAGAGACAAAGAGACAGAAAGTGAGAAATCATCTCCTGGGGGATGGTCACACCACAATCCCTTCTCCTCCATTCTCCTCTCAGGATCTTGGGCACGCACGCACATGTGCCCAGCGTGAGTTTTAAGCCACCAGATCCGACACTTGAACTGTGATCAACTACATGGGAGTCCAGTGACATAACCATTAGGCCATTCACTGCTCCCCAAACTTCCCAGTTTTCACTGGAACGAGAAAGTACCCAGAGAGAACAGGGTGGAGACGGCACTGTGGAGTGAGCACGAGAGGACCAGGCACTCCGGTCAGGTGGGCAAGGGTGAGGCAGGGCCCGCCAGCCACATAGCTGGCCTGTTGGGTTCCTGCTCTGCCACTTTGTCCTGAGTGTCCCTGAGCACGTCATTTTAACTCTCTGAGCCCCGATTTCCTCTCTGTGTAGCAAGGTCCACGTCCAGGGGTTGTCGTGAGGATGGAATGCTATGACCCATGTCACCTGGAGGCCCCATGATCATCGTCAACTTGTTTCCCCCACTTGTTTACATTCTCATACTCGACTTTGAGAATCTCGGCCATTGTTTGTGAAGGAGGAGAGGGTGGAGGGGAAGGGGTGGGGCCCTCTGGACGGCAGGCTGTGCACCCAGGGAGATCGGTATGTGGGGAGAGGCTTATGGAAGCCAGAGAAGTGACGGTGAGCCCTGCGTGTCACCTGTACGATCGGCCTCTGTGGAACTGGGGACCCTCCGGTGTGTCCGGTCCTCCTTTCCTTCCCCTGGACGCTGAGGGGACAGCAGAGGCAGGGACCGCAGCGGTGGGGACAGGCACCTTGGAGGGGTCAGCTGTGTGGGTGAGTCAGTGAAGAGGGCAGGGGGTGGGCAGGAGGAGGTCAGACAGGTGACTCACGCTCCCTGGACGAGCACTCAAGCAGGCCCTCTGGGGATAAATTGCGATGGGACACAGTTAACAGCCGCGCTCGGGTCTGATTAAGCAAGTGTGAGTCTTTCGTGTTCTTGGCTAATGCCAATGTTTCCTCTTTGGCTTTCTGGCCCCAGAGAGAAACTTTGTGACTTTTTATTCCCCCAAAGCTTTCCTTAATAACAGAAAAAAAAAAGGGAGGGAGGGAAGCCAGGGGTATGTTGGGGTAGGCAGCTGGATCCCATGTGACCAACTGCCCAGTTGGAATCCTGGACCGGGCAGCTTTAAAAACATGCTAGGCACATGTGTGTGCACGCCCCAAATCCTAGAAGGAGAAGGGACCGTGGCGTGGCCATCCCTCCGGGGGGTGCTTTCTCACTTCCTCTCTCTCTGTATCTGTCAGGTGAGCGCATACACTCTACAGCAAAATTTGAAAAATATTGAGTGAGGCTTTGATGGATGTCTGAGTGGGGGAGGGGGGAAGAGGGGAAGCTGGTTCCCCCCACCCCACCCCCCTGCCCAAACTCTGAGGCTGGCTGGGCCCGGGGCAAGGCTGTCTGTGTGTGGTCTCAGGGGCTGGCCCACCTGACATCCTGGCACCTTACGGCCACCCCGGAAGGCTCACCACTCCACCCCAAAGCCCGGG